AAAAAAAAAAAAAAAAAAAAAAATCAAAGCATGGGCTTTGGAATCAAGGAAGGTCTGAATCTGGACCCTGACATTGCCACTTAATGGCTATGTGATTTGGGGAATTAACCCCTCTGGGCTTTTTTTTCTCTTCATCTTTCCTCCCTATTTATGGAAGATTGTCATCGAGGACTAAATTACCTAAGATACATTAAGTTCCTAGGACAGGGAGTGGCACTTGTGTCATGCACATACCCTTGTCCTTCCACAACTGGTTCCCAAGATCTAGACATCAAATCTTACGGGTACAATTTCTACATTCTTCTTTAACATACTCCATGTAGTATTAGAAACAAAGTACTGTTGAATCAACTAGCATCCCCAAATTCTAGTGATAACCAATGCTTTAGCAACCTTTGGCTTTAAAAATATAGCCAATTCAGCTTACTTTTTGGTATTTGGTTTTTAACGAGAGCCTTGTTCAAGTAAGAAACTAGATGCTAATTAGATTTTCTTAGAAACTCTACTTTGTTATAGGACACTTAATTGCTAAACGTGAGACATAACTGAAAAGCAACCCCTCCCCCCAGTTTAACAAGACTTCAATTCCTAAAAAGCTGACATTTATTTTTAGATCCAGCTGTGTAATACTAGCCAAGTTAGTCTTGGAAGGTAATTCTGCTCCTAGGTATTGCTAGACCCTGTAACTCATGTTAGCTCTTAAAAACACAAAACCATCTCAAGCAATTAACTATTTTGGTTTAATTTATCATGTTTCATAGAAGCTGAAAACACATATTTCTCCTTTATATGGATAACCAAAAGCCCTACAAATTACAATATGCAGAATACTATATAAGAGAATTTTCATGAAATTGGATCTTTTTCATCATGGGCCAACAGCCGTAGTTTCCTCTGACTTACACAGCATCTATCTGAATGCATATTCTTCTTTATGATGGTCTAAATTTAGGTAAGTACAAATCACAGCAAAAATTAAAGTTTTTACCTTTAATGAAATGACCTTGGAAATAACGTACATTTCCATGACACCAACACTATAGTTTTCGGAGTCACAGTAAGATACACAGAATTACATCAGTAATTAATATGAATGCCAACATTTCAAGCAGTAATTTCTGTTACATGGCAAACAAAATCAAGAAAGCAACCATCAAACAAAAGAGACCCATAGCTTCAGACAAGGCAAATCCCAGGATAGCATATGAGAACAGCTGCTGCTTCAGTGAAGGATTTCTAAAAGAGACACAACACATGTAATTGTTACTCTGAAATATTATTTGAATTTCAGAATGTTTGGTAAATGCTAAAGAATCAGATTATTACTGTGGGATCTTTGTAAACTGGGTGAGTCCTGGAAAAGTATTTGCCCAGCTCTTTTTTATTTCTGCCTTTGCTATTCCTTTCTCCTCAATCCTAATCACATGGGGAAAAGGTAGGAAGCTAACTCTGTATGTCAATATACATGGTTAGTCTTCATCCATTTTAAGGGGTTCAGACATATTTGCTATCCCTGGGAAAGTATGTTCTGTGCTCTTAAGATCTAATAGTTTAGAAATAAGGTCTTACATAAAACGGAAGTTGATACTTCTAAAGACTGTGCTGTTAACTATATTCCAAAAACAGCTTCACGATCAAGAGTACAGACTCTGAAGTCAGAATTAAAATTTATTTTCTGACACTTACTAGCTACTTGGGCAATCAGTGTAATTTCTACGTTGCTCATCCCTCACAGGTAACCTGGCGTATATCTCCAAGGGGTGTTGTGAGAGTTAAGTGGGCTCATGCATGCAAAGCCCTCAAAATACAATGCAAGACACAGGTTGGCTCTTAATACAAAGTACTTATCATCTGACTAGTTTTCCAAGTTTCCAACTATGTCAAGCATGCTCTTAAAGTAGCTTATTTGGTGATAGAAATTACCTGGCATAACCAATGATAAGGCTGCCAAAGACTGTTCCAATACCAGCACCAGAACCAGCCACTCCCACAGTGGCAGCACCTGCACCAATAAATTTGGCAGCAGTATCGATATCTCTGCTGACTGCACTGGTCTGAAACTCCCTTTGGATTAGGTGGGACACACCAGTCCTGGACCCATTAAATACCGTAGAGCCCTAGACAAAAGGAAATAAAGGCAAAGGTCAAATCAATAATCACAAGTAGCTATTTTAATTACTATCCTGTAAATGGTAGCTACTTCTCTATTTTGTAACTGAGTCTGAATAGGAGGTGGTGTGGCACAATGGAAAAATCAAGAGTTTAGAATAATTCCAAAGCTGTAGAATAGGGAGAACAGTATCTATTATAAGGCTGTTGAAAATTAAGAGACAGTGTATTTGAATATGCTTTTTGGTAGGGCAGGCTTTTCAATAACTGTAGCAAGTGTAATCTTAAATACAGGCATTCAAAACCATATATTTAAATATACAGACGGACTCCATTTCTTGGACAACTCAAGGAGGTAAGTTTTGGATACAGAAGTTCCTTTCATTGGCTTATCCTCTGCACTATTTTTTTTTGACAAAAGGGTGGAAAAAGACTGCTCTCAAACCATTCACAAATGAGGTTTTTCCTCCCCTTTGATTAAAACCACAGGACTTACTTGGTAGGGTTACTTAATTTCTATTACTACTGCTATTACCTCTTCAGTCCTAGTATCTGGTCGAGATAACACTGATGCAGAAATTGGTCTGTATGCAACTCTGGATCCTGCTCGGATCTATGAATGAAAAAAATATTCCAAATATTAACAGTGGACAAGACTTCAATGACCCTTCTTGTACCAGGAGTTCTAAAAAAGCAAGCAGCAAAAATGAATCAGAGAGCTTATGACTTTTCTGTATTGTCTGGTATCTTGCTGTTTGATTATTTTCAGTCCATGAAGGTATTTTAATAGTTCTAAAGTTGCTGATTAAAGTTTAAAGTGTGGTACATAATCTATTTGTAATAATCTGAATAAAACTTCTAAGAACAATTGGTGCAAAGAAAGCATTATTTTTAGATTTTCAGTTACTGTGGTGCCACAACTCAGATCAGAAAAACAGCAATAAACATGCCACATTCTTCAGTAAACTTACGGTGCAGCAACAAGTATATCAGAGTGTTGCTAGAAAAGCTTGTCATTTAAAATAGCCCATCAGTTAATATGAGTCCCACAACTTCCAAGATATTCCTATATGTCCGTTAATTATAAAATAAAAAAGCAGTTTAAGCAATTCTGTACCAACGTACGAATCATCGGGGAAATACTCTGACCATAAGGAATGTCTCGCAGTCCAGCGTCTCTGCCCTTGACCGTCCACTAAACTAAGGTCACAGAAAATCCCTTCAGAACCAAGACTTGATTCTCTAAGACAAGTCCCCCACATCCTCACTTCACCTAAAGCCTCCAAAATGGTTATGGAAATGACAGCCAGAGGCAGGAAGAAAGACTTTCGACTCCTCCACCACCTTCCTCCGCCCACACAGGGTGAGGCAAAGTCCCTCCTTCTGCAGCAGCGAGTTTGACCTACAGATAGGCAATGGAAAACGCTAATGCGGTCAAGTAGGCCTCAGGGGCCCCCAGCATCCTTAACAGCACCCCAACCTTCGCGCCGACCCCAACCCCAGAGTCACCGAGGAGGTGGGGGAGGGGGCCGCTCCGGCACTAGCTGCAAGGAGGGTTTGACCTACAGCGAGCGAAGCGTGACCAACTAGGCCGCGGCTGCGCCCCACCGCCCTACTGGTGGGGAGGAGCCGAGCGAGGTGCCCCAGGATCAGAAGGAAAGGCAGGAGAGGACACAGAGGGTAAGAGGCGAAGGGGTGAACTGTCCCCCGAAGTTGGTGTGCCGTGCCCCATTCAACAACGTGGACGCTCCGGGCCAAGAGCTCGGCCCTC